CTGCGGCGTGTACAGGCCGTACGATCTGTTAAAAATAAATTCCTTGTTCAAGGCGGATACTATTATAGGAATACGAGATCCCTGGGCTTTTAAGAATTTGAATCTGGATTTGATTATGGGACTGTTGGTTTAAGAAAAATCTTATAGGTCTTTTCAATTTCAATGTTAAAAGTTTGACCCTTAAACCCTAAGTTTAAGATTTCAATCTTCTATAGATATGTATAAAGGGAACAGTGTTCCTTTTTTACATATCTATAGAAGATTGCGAGTCGTATCTGAGTTGTATTTAAAAATAGATGTATCGAAATGGAAGAGTTTAATCTGAGATATAAAATATTTAGTTTTCAACATCAAAACTTAGCAATTCTCTCGACAGCATTGACATTTTCAATTTGGATCTCGCTTAACCCTTCTGTGTCGATTATTTGTATTGTGTGTTCGTTATTCTGTGTCGATTATTTGTCACAATCAATTTTTGACATAAATGGAATAAAAAAACGTCTGAAACTGTCGCTCACTTACCGATCTGATATCGTCAATAGTCTGTCACTAACATCTTTATGCTTCGTATAAAAATATTCTTTCTCTTTTTCTTCTTATAACGTGTTTATCGTAAACCTGTTTGCTTTATTTTTCCCGGCAATAAAAATACACGATAATAAATAATAAAAATTCGTTAGCAATATTACACGTAAACACAGACCGAGCTGGCAATACAAAATAGCGTGGCGTGTCGCGCGAGATTAAACGCCTTTGCTCGTCGTAGAATTTGAATATTGCATTGCGACGACCCGCTGGCAGAAATCAAGATCGACTCGCTCGCGTCTGCTAGATCTCTCGCGATAACGCGCGACGAGGACTTCGTCGCGTCAAACCCGGTGAAGGTCTAGGATAGAAATTGCGTGCCGTGCTCCAGTTAACCGGTCGAGGCCTACATTTGTAAACGCGCGCGCGCGAGAGAGAGAGAGAGATTGTCTACACCTTGTGCACTCGAATAAGGTCGCAGACAATGAACTTCACGTTCATTACCTTCGAAGCACTTACCACGCGAAGCTAGACGGCGAAGAAATAATTGCAACTATCACTGTCCGCGACCGAGTATACCCAGCGTAATTGGAAATATTCTTCTCGCCCTTCGCGAGCGTGATATTTCGAGCGAGGAAACACGATGTGTAGAAAATGCCGAACGTTATGAACGCCACGCCTTGACATTTTTACTTTATTACTTTTACTTTTTCCTATCATCCATCCTAACATCGCTAATAGGTTATCGGTCTAAGTGCTGTTACACAAGGGATACGGCGAGTCATCGATAAAGGAGAGATGATCTGTCTCAATTTGTTATTTTCATGTCGAACTGTTTCGTGTTCCATATTCTATCTGATAATAATAAATGTAATAAAAAGAAGATTAATAAAAGATCTGGTAAACGTTTACTTTGGAAGACCTTACTTAATAATACAAAAATTTCAATATTATGATTTGCGTAATATGGCCTACTTATATATTGCTATAAATCAAATTGATATTTAGATTAATAAATTTAGTGTTATTAATAATAAATTTATTAGTATTATTAATATATATTTCATTTTATTTTAATAATTAATATATAAATTTAATAAAGTAATATAAATTTAATATTATTAATACAAATTTAGTAAATCAAATTAATATTTAGGTTTAGTATTCTTGTAAAAAATATTAAATGGCCTTAGAATGTTTTCAATGTGCATCTGAATAAATATACGATTATCATTATATGCTCATATGATTTTAAGATTATTTTTTACTTCTGATAAAACCTTTCAGATTAGTATTTATGGCAACAGCGACGGGTCTTGATTAATTGGATTAATTCGCGCGGAGTCTACTACAGGGAAATGCGATTAAGCGTGCCTCGCACGTCATAATTAATATCATGCCGCGAGATTAAAAAACTAATAAGCTTCTTTCCGCGAGTTCTTTCACGGGACGTGAAAAGCTGCGGAAAGTATCCGCGATAAAGCGAAAGAGAAACAAAAAGCAACGGAGAAGAATGTTGGGCAAGAAATCGCGTATGCGATACGGCTTCGTCTATCTTTACCGTGGAGAGAGCGGTGGATAAAAGTATTTCATCGCAGCAGGATATTGAACGTCGAACGATCATCTACGAGCGGGAAACGCAGTTGCGTGTATTATAAAAAAAAAAAATATAAAGCCGCGGTGGAAAAATCTATGCCGTGCAATATCAACTTCGTATTAATCTCGCTGTTGCGAGTATCTCGAGTTTCCATGTTTTCCCACGAAAAATAAGCGACCCTCTCGGCGACCACGGAAGTGCATCATCCTTCTTGCAGTCGCGTCTCCTTGTTTAGCTTTTTCATCATAAAGAATCGTAAGAGAGTTCGGCGAGAAAGAAACGAGTTGTCTGACGCCGAGATGAAATACCCGATGATATATGTTTTTAGGGGATACGTCTGACAAAGTGTGTCACAGAATTGGATAGACGTGAGATGGTAATTTAGCGAATTTGTCCGCGACACAAATTTATGAGACGTGTATTAAGCTTGACAAAGCAGCGCGTGATTTTGATGGTGAGAAAAAAAAAGAATCGAAAGAACCGCATTGGTGCGTACAGTTTTTAGATTTAAATCAAATTTGTCTAATATATTATACGTATTATATATATTGCAAGTGTTTACTATAACGTCATGCGTAATCGTGCGTGTTCGCATTGCATTTATGCAATCATTTTGCAGTTAATTATGAAATAATTACTATACAAATTATATTATTTTTAATTAAAGAATTATGAGTTGGAGTGTGTATTAATGATAATCAAAATGCTATCGGCATTCGCGCAGTAATTTTGCGCGGGCTAACTTTCCTTTAATCTTTCGAGCGAGCGGTCGCAATTAATTCTCGAATGTACGTGCGTCAGATTCAGTGTAACGATGCGCGCGTATAATAACGAGACCTATCGATCAGCTAAACGAGCAACAAATTCGCACTGTTATAGCTTAATGCTAAAACATAGCAAGCTTCACTTAGAAATTATCGGACCTATCGAAATAAGCGCGTTATCGAGTATCGCATTAACTATAATATTATACATCGAGATACATGGAATACACTCGATCCAATATCATTCAAATGTTAAGCGTCATTTTGCATATAATAAGAGTAGAGAGAACTTCAAAAAAAACGTAGCCACTATCAGCAAAGATCAATTTGTTAGTACACGAATTCAGAATCCCAGAAACAATCGGTGAAAAAGTTTTTCGACAAATATGATTTTCTTTTTGTGGAGAAAGTTATAAGTTTCTTTTCCATTTCAACTTTTCAGCAACTTTCCTATTGTACTATTCAGACTTTTCCTATTGTTTCTATTTAGTATTTCTAACATCGTATTACAAAATGTTATACTGTTTTTGTCAAAACTCTTATCTTTTTCTTTGCAATTTATATGGTTAACCGAATATTTAATCACTTTCGATTAATTTTTGATCATGATTGAGTATTCTATTCTATCTAAAGATTTTCTTATTAATATTTTCGCACAAAATTATTACGTTTACGCAAAATTTATAGCAATAATATTTGATTGTGTTAGCGATCGAGTTGATCCTGGCAGACACGAATGCGATAAAGCAGATTATGCGTCAACCTTGACTGCCGACTATTAAGTGCAGTAATCATCCGCGCCATACGTTTGCAATTGCACAATTAAAACGACGAGTCGTCCCCAATTACCGTTTACCTAACAATTTACGCGGTTCGTGTCACACAAAAACAAGAAGCGAATCGTTTTTTCTCTCTCGTTTATATCGTTGTATTTTTCCACAGTCGCGCTTAAATCTTCAATTTGCACTTGTGAGAATACGCGGCATAAATAATTAATCTTCTTATTAAATAATCTCTTAGCAAAAAGTGCCATGCGTTTAAAAATTTTATACAAGTCGTCAAATTTTAGGAATAAAATATATAACATTAAAATGTAATTAAAATTATATTATCGCGCGTATTTTTTTATCGCAAATTTTGCGTTTAATGTATCACTCCTGCCTACTTCGTATTTGCGTGCCGGTTTTTGTTGTGCAGCTTCACTCCGACTTCCGGGTCGGCGCAGCGCAGAGCCCGCTCCTGACCCGAATCGTCGATTGTTGTTCGGCCGCGAGCAATAAATTCGCGAGTGTGTAGAGGCAAAACGGGGTCTGTCTCCTCGACCCAGTTCGAAGTCGCGCCGATTACACGCATGGATTATAAGCATTTCGCGCCCGCGGGCGCGTTTTTCCGAACATGAGAGTTCTTCGCGAGCGTCGCGCAAGGCTCGCAAATTGGCAACGTTTTCAATGCCATCGATGTTCAACGGCTTCACTTACGTGAGAGAAAATAGGGCATATACTTAGGCACATGAATGCAATCAGATGGCTTTCTGTTTACACCGATATAAAATATATCAAAATAATATAATTCGAAAATTGTTATTTTTTTAATATTATTGAAATTTATTTGGAGAACTCTAATTCTACGAATTTACACAATTTCTTTAAGTTGGTTTATCAAATTTACTATCATTTAATATATCTGCCGTAGAACAACATACACATTATTAGAGTCAAATTATATAATAAATAAAGAAAATCGAAAAGATCGAATAAATCGGAAAATCTAGAATTTATTCATGTATGATCTTTGTTTAACTGTATTCTTGAACAATTATTGTATCCTGATTGCATTGCACTATTTTCTCCTTTAATTATTAATATAAGACATCGAGTATTCGAATCTGCTGCCCACGATAAATCGATATGCATTTGAAATTGGTAATTGAAATAATCTTTCGATAATTAAAATGTATCGCATTTTTGTATACGTTCAAGTTCATCAGAAATTTAAAGTCGATCCGCATGGCCTTTCAACGATCCGAATAATTGAAGCCTTTCTTCGCGCTCGCCTCACGCTTGTTGCGCGTAAGACTTTAATGCGATTGTTGTTAAATGCTGCGGATTACTTACATGCACTCGTAGATATCGCCACCAGATGCTCCAACTGCGTACCATTCAGCGGCTGATCTGCAACAGAAAAAAAATCACGACGTCGTTAATTGATTGTTCATGAAGAAACGTTGCATTACGTTTAAAGAGAGCTACGAATAGCGTTCAATGTTAAACTTTAGTTCATGATTGATTAAAAAGAAAATAAAACTTTTCAACTCAATAAACGTGATGAATAATAACATAATTGCATATTTTATCCACACAAAAGATCAACGAGAATATCAATTAATCATTTAATGATTAATATTATATTATTTTCATCAAAAACACACAATTAATAGCGTACAAATTCCAGAATATTTGCGGCTTTAGCAAAACTTTCAACTCTATGTGATAATTAATTAATATACTATTATTATTGATTACGCAGTATTAATAGCGTTTTATACCTAACTGCATCAATGAACCAGGTGTTATATCAAGTTTGTTTTGTGTTATATTTATTAGATAATTGGAACCAACTTTAATCATCTCGAGTACGTGTGCTTTAGAAATCACGTGTTCGCCATCAATTTTCATGCTGGAAGAGTTACGGTGTGATTAATCCTATGCGTCCCTTGTCATTACAGCACGTCTCCAGCTTTATCCCCCGCATATGAAATTAATTCTCCATTGATTCAGGAAGAGGACAAATTTCCAAAAGATGAACATAAAGAAATATCTCATGTCAAATATCAAGCGTCAAATGTCCTTTTTCATGTCATTTCGGATATCAAGAAACTAAATTCCACTAAATAATTCCACTAAAATATTCG